ACCCACCTGTTAAAAGTACAGGGTCTTACTAGGCAGCTTGGACTCATAGTGATCCTCCAGTTTTCAGCCTCCCCAGCACTGGGATTACAAGTGTGTGTCAGAGGGATCGAACCATGGTCCCTGTGCTTGCCTAAGCAGGCACTTAGTCTGCTGAGCTATATTGCCAGCCCTAATTTACTCCATTCTAACTTCTTACAATAAACATATGCTTTGTGGAAAATTATTTCAACAGGAGAAATAATAAATTGTTTAGTCCTACAAAATTTGAGGTCTCAATGTCTATCTGGACTATATGTTTTGTTCTAAATGTTTTGATGTGTATCCAGAACTGTAAATTGATTCAACAGATAAAACATTTTTTTTTTTTTTTGCGGACTGGTGATTGAACTCAGGCCTTTGTGCTTACCAGGGAAGCACTTATTCCACTGAGTCATCTCCACGGCCCCTCAGATAAAACATTTATAGCATTACCTGTCTCACAATCCATAAACTCAATAAATAGGATATTTGCATTAAATTTTTTTTGAAAAATTGAAGCTATAAAAATTTTACAGTTCAATTTTATTTGATTTTATTTTTGGAGACAGGGTCTCACAAGGCCACACCTTTAGGAAGCCACACCCAGACTATTCTTGGATTTACTTGACAAACAGCAAGTGGTTGAGATTACAGAGGGCTCCTTTGATTTATTTCCACAAGGAAAGCAAAATCCAGGCTTGGAAACAGCCAGAAACTGAAGTCGGGGAGGAGTGACTGCTGGTGCCCTGTCATAGCTTGAGACCATATTGTTTTTTAATTTTTTTTATTTTATGTATTTAGTATAGGGTCTGCAGGGTCTTACTACACAGATCAGACTTGTGGGGATCCTCCTGTTTTCTGTCTCCCAAACGCTGGGATTATAGGTGTGTGCCACCATGCACAGCATGTGGAGCCAGGATCTAACTCGGGTCCCAGCACCTGCGTAATCCACTGATCTATGTGACTGCCCTCAAGACCATACTGAACAATCACGGATCATATAGTTCAGAATATGCGAGAAGGACAGGGCTTTGTGGTTGCTGTTGTTTGTACCAGTAATTGCACCCACGACTTCACATTGGCAGACAAGCGCTGGCCAGAGGAGGGCGTTTGAAGGTTTCTACCTCAAGAAATAAATGATTAATGTGATGGATGTCAGTTACCCTGATTGCATCATTACATCGTACCCAGGAAATCTGTACCGCAGGTGTCAAAAGAAAAATGTTTTTTTAAAGAAGTTGGTATGGGAGGCTGTGAAGATAGCTCAGTAGAATAAGCACTTGCCTGGCAAGTGCAAGGGCCTGAGTTCAATTCCCAGTTCTGCGGAAAAAAAAAAAATTGGTATGGAAGCAAGTGATTGGGGCCAGGGAGATGGCTCAGTAGGATAAGTGCTTGACTGGCAAATGCAAGGATCTGAGTTCAATCCCCGGTTCTGCAAAAAAAAAAAAAAAAAAAAAAAAAAGGAAGCAAGTGGTGTGGGTTCTGAGGCGAGGTCTTTGAAGATAACCGAAATACAGGACTTGTGGGCGGGCTGCCTCCTAAGGTGTGCAGCAGCTGTAGCCACCTTCAGGGATGTTGTCACACAGACAAGCAGCTTCCAGAGCTGTGCTGCTGACACACGTGCACAACCCCCCACCTCACCCCCACAGCAGCTACGAGCGAGCGTTTAAACTATAGTCTGAATGAAGATGTGCTGTAAGTGTAAAATGCATACCAGAGTTCAAAGACTTAGCACAAAAAAGGGATGTAAAGGTATGTAAAATATTGCATGAATAATTATATACAGTAATTACACATTAAAAATTTGAATATATAGGGATAAATAAAATATGAAAAATTCATCTTTAAAAAAATGTATTTGGTTGTTGCAGGGTCTCACTATGCAACTCGGACTCATGGTGATCCTCCTGCTTTCAGCCTCCCCAGCACTGAGATTACATGTTTGTGCCACTACGAATAGATTCTGGCCTGCTCAGCCCATCCTGGAGGTGGGGCTGGCACAGCATGTGGTGCCAGGGATTGAACCTGGGTCCCTGTGCTTGCCTAAGCTTGCCTAAGCAGGCACTTTAGTCCACTGAGCTATCTCGCCAGCCCCTTCACCTCTTTTTTTTTTTTTTTCAACAAATAATACACTGCATATATTCTTCTTAGCCCTTCACCTCTTTTTACACTTTAAAAAATATGGCTACTAGAAAACCTGTGATGGCTTCTGTGGTCCATTTTTATTTGCAGCCTTTTGCTTTCCATTGCATAGCTAAGCTGACCCCACCACAGTATTCCTCCAAGGGAAGGGGAACACACGAGAGATTTTCTGCAGGTAATAAGTCAGTGAGTGAAACCAAGGCCTCTGCGGCCCCAGCATAATCGCTGATCTCTTCAGGTTGCTAACTCAGGGTTTATCCAGGCCTGAAAGCACAGCTCTTCCTGAAGCAGCCCTGTTTGGCCTCGCTGGAAAGGAGGCCAGCGCCACTCTGCTGGGGGCTCCTGGGCCCTGCGACCTCCTGTGGGCCCCGATGCTGTTACAGAGGCCCCGGCTTCTGAACTGCTGTCCTTGTGATTGTCACTGGAGCTTTTCATAGTACCCTGAAAGTGTGCCTACATTCTGAATTAAGGCAGTGCTGCCTGGGGCCTGGAAGGTGTTCTGATTGTAGAGCAAGGAAATAACGTGTCCAGATCAGTTAAGACAAAAAAAGGAACCTAACTTGCCAATCAACACAGGGGAAGTATTTCACCTTAGGGGAAGGTGGGAATGGAACCTTGTGGGGACATGGGACAAGGCACAATGTAGAGGTCACCCTCTGAAAACAGTAGCTGGGCCTTGGGAAAAAATGGCAGGGGGCTCAGATCCAGGGAAGACACAGTGGCCCACGTCACCAGCACTGGATAGCCGGCTGACTGCTGTCCCCTGCTCACAATCACAGCGCTCCTTGCCCCCCAAGCACCACCTGTGGACCTGGCTGAGCCTGACCAATGACCCCACCATTCCTGCTGGGGTGTGTATTTAGCTCCTGTGCCGGGCGCCTGTGCAACCCCTTCTGGGCAGGGCCAGTTATGGGGGGAGAATGAGCAGCAAGGTCACCCGTGCCCCCAGATGGCACAGAGGGGCTACAAAGGCACCAAGGGACACAAGCACCTCTCACAGGTCACCCGTGGCCTCCAGGAGGGCACCCCACTTATCTACACTTATCTTCACACCCACCATTCCCGCCTGACTTTGGGCCCTGTCCTTGGGCAAATCCTTTTCCATCTCATTCCTTGTGGCTCTGCTTCCCCACCCCCAAGCACGGACACACTGCCATTAGAAGCAGAAAGCTTTGCAAAGGACAAGAAATAACATGACTTCTGGAATTGGAAGGTCTGATCATAAAATGTTTGATTTTCCTGAAACACGTAGTCCAGTATTTATAAAATCCTTTACGTGGCCCCGAGGGGTTCCTTAGCAAGTGTATTCCTGCATCCTGCACACTTAGCACTGAGGCTTGGTTGTGCCCGAGGGAGCTTTGGGGGTGCTGGGTGCAGCCATTGGTTTTATTTTATTTTTTATTTTATTTTATTTATTTTTTAATTTATTTATTTTATTTATGTGTGTGTGTGTGTGTGTGTGTGTGTGGCCAGCTCAGCCCACCAGGGGGCGGGGCTGGCTGGC